GAATTGTTGATGGTGACTCTACGGATGGAGCTGTACTTGTTAACGGAAGCGAGGCTGACGAAGAGTGGGGTACGAATAACGAAGGAAACCCATCAGCCTAATAGCAAGTCCGGTCAAGGCCAATGTTGAAAAGTCTGAAAATTTTGTCTCTGGTGATTAATTTGATTCCCCCCGCAAATGCCGCCTTCTAACATCGTATTCCCTCTTTGTTTCTGTGTCTTGTTTGAAATCATTGCATTTCATATATAGCAGCAACCTTTAGGAAACATAACACCAAGTTTATAGGTCTTAAAACCGAGTATCTGCATTCATCTTTTGATACCCGATTTCACGAGTTTTAGCGGTTTCTTGATGCTGCATTAACTTATCAATCTTTCGGTTTCTTTGTTTTTGCAGTGCTTACACCGCGTCAGTAAAGGTTTACAGTTTAAAAGTTCAAGCAACTTTGGATTCATGGGTCAAATCCGAGCCAGCTTGGGAACCAACAACATTCATTGAAGTAATTTGGAATCCATTTTGTAATAAAAAATGAGAATTTTTTTTTAAGAGCTTTACAATCCAAAGCAGGACTCGGCTTCTTGCTAATGAGACTCGAGAGGATAATTTAGATGAAAAGAGAGGACTTGAGATTTTTATTATTATATATGGTTTTGTTTTGTTTTACAAAATATTTTCTTTAGATTTCATCTGATTGTTTTTTGTTTCTTTTATCTGGCTTGTAAACTGATTTGTTTTATTTTTATCACTGCATATATAAACCTTATTATTATTTTTTTTGTTTTTGATTTTCAGATAACGTGAAAGACTTATATATAGGATTAAGTTGAATATGATCCGTTGAATTTGCCCAAAGATGGTATATAAAAGTATCATGTTTCTATATATAATACTAGATAATTACCTGCGTTTTACGCGGGGTAATATGATTACCAAGTGAAATCAATATAGTTTTAATTATAAACAATCATATAAAAATCGTTTATATATATAAATCTTGCAATTATTTTGTATATAAATGTGTTCCATCGTTGAAATAATTGATAACAATAATTTTAATTTTTTTAGACAATATATATCACTTATTAATAAAATATATATAAATTGAATTTTTTAAGTTTAAAGTAATTATAAGAGTAATAATATAGTTTTTAAAATAAAAATTTGGATTTAATTAGCTGGTCATAAAACTAAATCAAGATTGATTTTTTTTGTAATAGATATTCATTTTTGTTTAGTTCTAATGGTAAGAATTAATATTTCAATTTTTGATTAATTGTTTTAGGCAAGTTTATAAGTATTCTAATGCGTATGAAAATTGGAATTAGAGAAAATTATGCAAATTATTATAGTTATTTTCAAAAATTATATACGGTCCCAAAACTCGTTTATATATATATATAATTTGTAATTATTTTGTAAAAAATGTGTTCCACCCGTAAAATAATTGAAAAACAACAATAGTCAATGTATATCATTTATTAATAAAATATATATATCCATTGAATCTTATAGGTTTAGGATAATTATAAGAGTAATAATATAGTTAAAAATACAAATTTTTGGATTTAATTAATTGGTCATAAAAAGAAATTAATATTTTAAATTTTCGAAATATATATATTCATTTTCTTTAGTTAATGGTAAAAATGAATATTACAATTTTTGAATAATTATTTTAGGCAAGTTTATAAGTATTCTAATGTGTTTGGCAATTGGAATTAGTGTATCCAAGTTAGAATTAAGTATTTTAAGAAGATGTTTGGACAATGGTATAAGAGAATTTAATTTTAAGTTAATTTAACTAATAAAAAATGAAAAAAAATGGTGGGCTTGACACCTAAGCAAATTAAGCAAATTTGTTCCAAAATGCTTCTCCTTTGATATATAGAAGATATGAATTAAAGAAAACTATAATTATGAGAGGTAGAAGATCAAGAGTTTGTGAAAATCATGCTTCGACATTTCTCATTACAGTTTGATAATAAATTTATGCATATTAGATGTGATGAGAGTTTAGGATTGGAAGAATATTATATTTACTCTCATAATCATAAGCTTTGGTTAGATACATTTATATAGGAATTGAATGCTGTACACATTTAACCTAGTTTCCTAATATAAGATAATTACAAATCTCATAGGAATATTCACAAATATCTCTAGGATCATTCTAGATTCTTCTATACGCCCCTTCAAGCTCAAGGCGGTGATGGAGAATTAGCGGAATAATTAAGCGGCTTGAGATTGACCTAGAAATGATAGAAACGGATTGAGTAATGATGAGACTTGGTGGTGAGAGATGGTGAGTTGCGGTAGAGCTTGAAGCTTGGGCTGCGGCGGAGATCAGAGATCTCATGTTGGCCATATCGTGAGGTTGTTGGGCTTGGCGGAAGGGGAGGAGAAGAGATCTCCCGACGGTGGTGATGGAGATCTTCTTTGATATGATGGTGAAGCATACATGTTAACGTGGGAAAGAACAAGCAAAAAAATGAATTTTTTTTTTAATTAATGAAAGAGAAAGAAACGATAAACAATTTTTTTTTCACAGAAAATAATACAGAAAAAAATCTTGAAGAAGCATCAATAGCTTGAAATTTCAGAAAACAATTTTTTTTTTAATTAAAGGAATAGAAAGAAACGAAAAACAA